CCCTCCCCTCCCCCACCCCAGCTGCTCAGAGGGCCGAGGGCCAACAACTCTATTTTCTCCACCCCCACCTGCTGATGTCACCTGCTTTCCAGTGGAAGAGGCCTCAGCACCTGCCACTTTGCCTGCCTCCCCAGCTGGGAGGCTGGAGCCTGGCCTTAGCAGCCCCTTCTCAGACCTTCTGGGCCCCCTGGGTGCCCAAGCAGATGAAGCCGGCTGTAGTGCCCAGCCCTCACCAGAGCAGCAGCCCTCTCCTCTCGAGCCACGGCCGGTGTCCCCCTCAGCCTACATGCTGCGCCTGCCGCCACCCGCTGGAGCCTACATCCAGAATGAGCACAGCTACCAGGTGGGCAGTGCCCTACTCTGGAAGCGGCGGGCTGAGGCAGCCCTTGATGCCCTGGACAAGGCCCAGCGCCAGCTGCAGGCCTGCAAGCGGCGGGAGCAGAGGCTACGGCTGCGACTGACCAAGCTGCAGCAGGAGCGGGCACAGGAAAAGCGAGCACAGGCAGATGCTCGCCAGACTCTGAAGGAGCATGTGCAAGACTTTGCCATGCAGCTGAGCAGCAGCATGGCCTGAGTGAGGGGCCGCCCAGCCAGGCCGTGGCCTCCCTCAGAATCTGCCTGGAGAGGGACCTCACTTGAACTATATCCACTAGACCTGCCAGATGCCATAATAAAGTGGATTCTAGAAGGAGGCCCTGCTGTCTGGCTCAGCTAGGGACAGAAGCCTCTCTGGGTACTAGGCTTGTTGCCCCAGTGGCTGCAGCCCCCAGAGCGCCCAGACCCTGGGGTCCAGCCACCCCTGCCCATGTAGCTCCGTGCCACACAGGTTCTCTGAAGGGGCAGGATGGTGTGAGTAGCGGCTGATGCCAGGAACTCTTTCCTTGGGATCTGAAACAGCCTTGGATTTAAGCCAGCCAGTCTGGACTCAGTTCTTAGGCAGGGCCACAGCAGGCCTCTGCTCACAGGCCTCCACTCCACCAGGGCCGTCTCCATCTGAAAAATGGAAACAATGGTGATGGTCATCAACCTCCTAGGGTGGCTATGCACAGCAGAGGTAGCGAGGCCCCAAGAGGCAACCATTCTAGAATAGTCCCTGCAAGTGTGGGAAGAGGTGAGTAGAGCTCAGCAGGCATGTGGGTCTTGGCCTTGGTGTCCTTATTTTCCTTCCACTCAGGAACCTAGAAGGCCTCACTGCTGCTGTGACTGGGAGGCAGCTTGGAGTGCGGGGTGACTCTTACTGCAGGCATGACCTCCCTGCTGTGCCCAGGGAGCATGGCAGAATTGCTTCTAGCCCCAGCGACTGCCACACAATGTTCTAAGTTTGGTTTTTAGTGGGCTTTGTTGTGTAACTTTATCATGTCTCTCAGACAGTTGGGGGCCAGTTACAAGAGTCGGTGTAGAGCAGGATTTGCAGGTGGCAGTTCATGGAGGCCTCAAGGCCACCCTATGGGTGTGGCAAGAGCCATATCTCCTGGACACTCTGGGTGGGTGGCTCCATGGTCCCACCATGAGTGACTCTCACCCAGCCTGCCTGGCTGCCCACCCAGTCTGGCAGTTTTCCGGGCGTTGGCACACAGTCCCCACTCACATCACCCTCAGAGGGATGCCTCCAGCTCAGCCTTCTGCCTCAGCTCCTGCTGCTTCCTCGTTTCCCAGCTCATCTTGCACAGGCCACTTGCTAGCCTGCTGCCTGGCTTTACAGTTCTGCTACCGTTGGCTACGAGTGCCCATCATACCATGCAGGGCCCCCCATCCACCTGCATGCAGCCGGCCGGGGCGGTGGCTGTGGCAATGCAGCGTTCGGGTGGAGCACAGCCGGGGAAAGAAGATGAGCTCTAAGGCCAGCAGAGAGTAGCTCATTTTCCCCAGGCGAGCTCTGGCTCTGTGGCAGCCAGGGGAAAAGGGGTCTGGGAATCTTCTTCCCAGAAAGGCAGGACAAGGCCTCTGGCCTCAGGGTAGACTCACACAGGACCTTCTCTAGGGCAACAGGAGAATGCATGAGCCTGTCTTTGGCTCCCAGCCCAGGTGGGAGATCAGCCCCCCTTTCCCAGGAGCCAACAGGAAGGCACAGGAGCGAGGCAGAGCACTGGGGCAGGGGCAGCCTGGATGCCTCCCACTGTCCCTTCTCCCTCATGTGACTGGGTGGCCCAGGTGGGGGCAGGGAGCTGTTGACCACATGGACAGAGAAACAGGCAAGACTGGCTGAATCCATGTCTAGAAGGCTGCCAAGCCATCAGGCCACAGAGCCAGTTGGCTGCAGGATGGCGAGGAGCTGAGGGCCAGAGGCCGGGGGCGGAGACTGTGCTAGCGAGGCGCGTGTGGTGAGTAGCACTGCTGTGGCTTTAATGGAGGCATGTCTATGACAGAATAAATACTTAGTGAGGGACACAGGGACCTGGGCGGCACCTCTGCTGACTTCTCCCTTGCCCCAGCCCTGAGCCCCGATGTGCACATGGGTGGGCTGGGATCCTGCAGCCCCTCTGGAAGCCAGGGCCAGCCCAGCACGGCTGACCTGTTGGCTGGGAGCTGACTGCAGGGCTCTTCATACCAAAGTGCATCTCAAGTCAGACCAAACCTGCCCACCAAGGGTCCCCAGTTACAAGCTGAGGGCAGGAGGAGGGGCCCCTTACACGACCTCAGTGAGGGTGAGGTGGGGGCGGGTGCAGCCCAGGTGAACTCCCTGGTAGGGCAGTGATTCTGCCAAGCCCCCTCCCCTACACTGGAAGGGCCTTGGCAACAGGACTCTGGATCTACAACATGCCCAGGCCAGGGGGCCATGCCAAACCCCCCAAAATACATGCCCAGACCCTGCTGCGTGGAAGGCCCAAGGCCATGGCTCCCTAGTCTCTCCCCGCTTCTGGGTGCTGTCCCCATCACTGAGCTGTGGCCTCCCACCTGCACCTCCAGTCCAGGAGAGGGGGCCAGCTGGGGAGGGGGTCTGCTTCACCATCTGCTCCCCGTGGGACCTCCTCAGCGAAATGAAGCATTTGTGGCCCCTCTGGGCACCCCCGCCCAGGGCCCGGCAGGTGCACCCCCTCTGCTGCAGGCACGAGTGTGGCCGCCGCATTCCTCAAGGCGGGCAGAGTGGGCAGGCAGGTATGGCTGCTCTCCTCGCTGGGTGGGCACCAGGGGAGGGGCCTCAGATGTCGGCGCCCAGCTCCGCACACTGCTTGTCGGAGATGTGGGAGGCCAGGGAGTCTATGATGTCAAGCAGCAGCTGCTGGCTCAGCAACCGCAGTGTGGGCAGCTTGGAGACCTGCCAAGGCAACCAGAAGGCCGGAACCAGATGGGACTGGATCCACACGAGGGCCAGGTGGGCAGCAGAGACCTCTGGGGCTGGACTTCCTCAGGGCTCAGGCTGGCTCCGAGGACGAAGATGAGCAGTGGCCAGTGGCAGGCTGCTCTGCTCAGCTCATCCCCTGCCCCCCACCCCGCAGCCCACGACTGCAGAGGACAGGGAGCGCCAGGGATCCCCTCCACCTCCCCCTCCCCCTGCCAAGGGGGAATAGGTCCTGAAGGGGAGGCCTCAGCCCTGACCTTGGTGAACTGGTGCACGATGATGTGCAGGCAGTGCCGCTTCATGTCCAGCGCCTGCGTCTTGTCGGCTGCCTCCAGGATCTGCAACGGCAGGACCTTGAGGCGCTGCCCCATTTGTCCCCCCCTCCCCTCCCCTCCCAACAGGTGCCGCGGAGCCACCTGCAGCACGTTCTGCACTGTCACGTTCATCTCCAGGTTCTGCTTGCAGTACGCCTGCAGCCGGTTGTTGTAGAAGCCATAGTAGTAGGGGGCCGAGAACAGGTAGCTGGGGGCCGGTTAAGGAGCTGACGGCCACACAAAGCTGGTCCTCACGCCCAGCTGCCCTCCTCCCTGCCCTCCCCTGGGAGGATGCGGTGGAGCCCCTCGCCCACCGGGGCTGAGGCTCCGATCCAGCCCAGACACTGGCTCCCTCTCTAAATGGGCTCTGAACCACTCATCGAGTCCAAGGACACATTCAAGATCCAAGGAAAACCATAAATCGTGTCCCCAGAACCGCTCCAGGGCCCCACAGAACCCTGAAGGGCTTCCTCGCACCCTACTGAAGTGATGTACGAGGAGTCGCCCCACGTGCGCACTCGCCTGTTGCAGAGCAATGACGACCACATGCTCCAGGCAATCGTGAGGGTCAAGAACCCACCCATCCCTCTTGGCTGCGAACCCCTCCCAGCCAGCCTGCGTGCTCCAGAGACACCAGCCCAGCACGGGCGCCAGCAAACCCTCCAGAGTGAGGCGCTGGGCCCAGGCCACCTGGCCAAGACAGGGCAACCGGGCCTCAAAGCTGCCCGAGGTGGGCGCCGGGACCCCTCAACAGTGACCAGGAGGCGTGCCCTCGGGGCACAAGGATGCAGTGAGTCCTCGGGGGGCATGTTGACCTCGCCGTAGTAGATGTAGCGCAGCATGGACTCGAAGGCCTGCCTGCTGGGCACCATCTCCCCGATGGAGATGTTCACCTGCCCGTCCTCGGGCATGAAGGACCGGAACATGGCCTCAAAGTAGCTGCACGCAGAGGGCCGCAGACCCGGCTCTCAGAGGAATGCAGCCGGCACCAGGCCTGCCCTACCCTGCCCTCCCCTCTGGCACCCACCTGGAGCGGGCAGCCAGGATGGCCTTGTGGGCTGGCCTCGGGTGCCCATCCAGCAGCAGCGTGATGTCACAGAACTCCGCGCCCGCCCCCTCAAGGTACGCCTTCATGTCCTGGATCAGAGATGTGCCTGGGGGTGTGGAGGGACCTGAGCAGACGCCCCCCACACTCGCAGCACACTCTGAGCTGGGGGAAGCTTCGGATTCTGGTCTAGGGACCTCACGGGCACCGCCTCCCACACGTCTGCCCACGTTGCTACCCTGAGCAAAGATTCCCTCAGGCCACGGGCCTCACTCCAGCACTGAAGCGCCACCAGCTCTGTCCTCTTCTCCCTCAGTCCCCCAAGCTGACTCGAGCATTGCACCCCAAACACAGCTGTCAAGCCTGCTTGGCCCCCAACGTCTGAACTTCCAAGACAGTCCACTGTCCCCCCCATGCTGGTTCTCCCCCAGGCCTCTGGGGTATCCAGGTGCCAGCAGTCCCCAGGGAGGGCTGGGGGAGTAAAGGACTGTAATACTCATTCCTACGCTAGGTGGGGCCGAGGAGGCAGCAGGCGAATGAGGTCTGTGGCTGTTCTGACCCTCACTGTGCCTAGTGGAGGTGCAGGGACCAATCACTGTGACCCTGGGCTGTTGGGCCCAGCATCCCAGCCAGAAGGAGGGCCCTGTGTCCACCCCGGGACTCGAGAGCCTGGCAGGTGCTCTCCACGGCTCCCAGGTCTCCTGCCAAAGATGAACACCATCCCTCCCACCCCCAGGGAAGGGCAACGGAGGCTCCCTACCGATGTCCATGGGCTGGTCCGAGGGGGCTCGAGGGAGCGGCTGCTGCTTCCGCCGCACAATCTCCACGATCAGCGGGGATGAGAGGCGCTCAAACTCCTTCATCATGATCACCTGGTTGAAGTGGGACTCCTTCACCACGAAGTTCAGGCAGTGCTCCTGGGACAGACAAGCATGGGCAGGCAGGCAGGGTCAAGCCGGGATCCCAGGCTGGGCAAAGAGCTCGCAAAGGTTGGCAGGGCAGGGCCTCGGCCTGGGCACGACCCACCCCACACAGCAGGGCCTGGCC